TTTGGGGGGACCCGCGGCCCCAAAAAAAAAACCCCCCAAAAAAAAAAAAAAAAAAAAAAAAAAAGAAAAGAAAAGAAAAGAAAAAGAAAAAAGAAAAGAAAAGAAAAAGCACATCAGGCCCATGTGCATGTGTGCCCAAAACCCCAAGAGGAGAATGGAGGAGAAGGGATTGGGGCATAGCTATCCCCTCTGGTGGGTGCATTCTCATACTCCCTTTTTGTGTCTCTCTCTTAGTCTCTAGCAAACGCATGTACCCAATAGCAAAAAAATTGAAATAAAGACAAAAGAAATAGGGGTAGTGCGAACTGAGAGGTGCCATAAATTAAGAGTGCACACCAGATCTCAGAACTTAGTACCAACATCCTGTAAAATATCTTGTTAATAATTTGATATCGATTACATATTAAATGACAGTATTTTTATTTAATGGGTTAAATAAAATTAATTAATTTGACCTGTTTCTGTTTACCTTTTTAAAAGTCTGTTTGTTTGGGGCTGGCAGGTGACGTGGTGGTTGGGGCACTGGACTCCCACATGGTTGACTATGGTTCAAGTCCCAAACCTGACAGTTTGCTTTCTCCCTTTCCCTTTCTCTCTCTCTGTTTCTCTCTGGTCAAATTTTAAAATAATAATAACTAAAGTTAAATAAATAACTTTTAAAAAAAGTTTGTTTGTTTATATCTTCTATCAGCGAGAGAAAGAGAGACAACATCCCCCAAAAGAGTCTCAGTACCACTTTGGCCAGTCTAGGATCATGGTTCTTGGTGTACCAGGGAGGTCTCTGGACGTGAAACTGGAACCTTCCCACATGGGTCAGTGTGGTAGAATTTTTTTTTTTTAATTTGGCCAGAGAGGGAGAGAGAAAGGGAAAGGGAGAAAGCAAACCGCCAGGTCCAGGACTCAAACCACGGTCAGCCATGTAGGAATTCAGTGCCCTTAACCACCATGCCACCTTCCAGTCCCTAGCTTGGTAGAGTTTTGTACTTTACCACTGTACCACCATCTATCTCACCTCTGCTTTTCTCTTTTTCTTTTTTTAAAATAATTATTTTAAGTTTATTCATTCATTCATTCATTCATTTATTTTAATTTGACCAGGGAGGGACACACAGAGAGAGAGAGAGCGAGGAAGCAAACCGCCAGGTCTGGGACTTGAACCACAGTCAGCCATGTGGGAGTCCAATGCTCTTAACCACCACACCACCTGCCGGCTCCCTTTTGTATTTTTCAAATGCAGCTGCCAGAAGAATTTAGATTACATATGTGGCTTGCATTATGTTTTGGAGGTAGTGCATGTTTGGCGGGTTCATGGATGATGGCTCTGTATCGAGCTGAACTTCCACGGGGTGTCCTCACGGAGCTCTTCGAGCCACTTCTCATATGCCTGCGCACGGCTGGCAGAGTGTCCACCCTCTTACGTAGGAGACAGAGCTGTGCGTGGATGGGTGTGCTAAAGCAAGCCGGCTAGAGATAGGAGACAGAGCCGTGCATGGATGGGTGTGCTAAAGCAAGCCGGCTAGAGGAGGAGGGAATGAGCTGAATGAATGTGGGCTCTCTCTGCAGAGTAGCACGTGTGCATTTTCACGTCAGTGTGCGTGTATTTGCGTGTGCATCACACATTTACATAGACTTTCCAGCTGCAGTTCATGCTGGGATCACTCGGCCCCAGAGGTTGGTTCCTTCGATGGATCCGTTATTGTAGTGAACATTTACTCTAAACCTGGGCTGCAGGTTGAATACTGGTACGAGAAGCTCAGAGACCCAGGCACTCGCCAGTCGTGTACCTCCTCTTTGCCCCCCTTCCTCTTCTCACTGGAGGCAAGACACGGTCAAAGGAAAGGAGCAGAGAGTAAAAGCCAGATGACGATGCATGTGCCTCAGTGCCACCCGCGGGGCGACTGCTGAGTACGGCCGAGTGTGGCCCTGGCGGGATGGACCTCATCCTAAGTTTGTCCATCTATCAGTCTTCCTTTCTTCTTTCCTTTCCTTCCTTCCTGAGTTTATTTATTTCTTCTATGAGGGAGAGACAGAGAGAAAGAGATACAGAGAGTCAGCCACCCCCAGGGGCTTCGCACTGCAACCCCCGGTCTTAGCTGACTGAGATTCTGGGCACTTGCAGGGCCCTGTGGGCTCAGGAGATCCCAGGACGTGAATCCAGGACTTCTTGTGGGGCCAGTCGTGTTACTGCTGTGTTCCATCCGCCCCCAAGTCCCTCTTTCAAGTGCCTTTCTTGAGTGGTGAGCCCCCAGGCCCCCAGGTAGAATCCTGCGCTCCGTGTCCAGTTTGCCTCGGCGGCCAGAGCTGGAAGCAGGCCCACTCCTCCATGCCCGTGGTGGCCGTGGTGTGTCTTCTCAGCCTGTTTTGTGTTTTCACGCCCCTCCCGTCTCCCCTCTGCTCTCCTCCCAGCTCCCAACTGAGACCTGGACCTGGCGAGAACTCCTGGCTCAGCCAGAGCACACGATGGTGTTCCGGGCAGCTCCAAGCCCGGTGGTGAGGCCCAGGGGCAGTGGGGACTACCCCACGGGCTCCGGCGTGTCCTGCCCAAGCACCAGCACCGCCGCCTTCCCCACCGGCAATAGCAGCAGTGCAGCCACGAGCGCCTGCGCCAGCAGCAACCTCAGTGCCCGGGTGAGGACACGGTGGGCAGAGCCACCGCGGCAGGATGGGGTGGGGCGTGGCGGCAGGCAGGGGGGTGGGAATCGGGAGGCCCGGCCTGGACTGCGCACCAGCGCCTGGGGTGCTGGTAGTGGGGAGAGTGCAGGGAGAGTGCAGCCGGGGCAGCTGGAGGCTGGCTGGGCCACGGTGGCTCTCTTGGTGGCTCTCTTCCCTCAGGCCCTCCTGGCCTTGATGCCTAGGGCTCTGGGTGTGGCCAAGGTGTGTTTTTCGCAGCTCTCGTTGCTCTCTCCATATGACAGTGCTGCTGTCCAGGGTTGGGACACAGGGTATGACGTGTTTGATGCGGCACGTGTCTGTGTCACATCACGTGCGGATACTGGGCGTGTGTCATGTGTGGATGGTAGACATATATCTGTATTGCATGTGGGTGACAGGTGTGTGTCTGTTGCATGCGGGCGGCAGGCATGTGTCTGTTGTTTGTGGGTGACAGAACATGTTTGTGCTCTTTTTGGGTGATGGGCATGTGTCTGTGTTGCATGTATGTGGGGACAACACAGAGCATATCTGTGTTGTGGGTGATGGGTATGTGTCTGTCATGTGTGGGTGACACACAGCATGTCTGTGCTATGTGTGAGTGGTAGGTGTGTATCTGTCATGTGTGGTGACAGCATGTCTGTTGTGTGTGAGCGATGGGTGTGTGTCATGTGTGGGTGACACACAGCATGTCTGCTACGTGTGGATGACAGGCGTGTGTGTGTGTTGCGATGGGTGACGCACAGCATGTCCACTGTGCATGGACGCCTCCCTGGAAGTGGCGGTGGCTGTGGTTGCCTCCCTGTGGGCTGGAAGGCCTTGCAGCCTCTGTCCCACTGGGCCCATTTGCCTTCAGATGCCCTCGCTGCCAGTCCCAGCTCTGCTCCAAGCCTGCGGGAGCCAGGAAGGTGGGGGAGGGAGCAGCCAGCGCGTTTCTCTCCTCTCTGTTTTGACAGCATCTGTATCAGCAGCAGTGTCCTCCTACCCGGGTTCCGGGTTCCGTTCCCACCAGAACTGCCTGGGGCCGCAGGGCCCTAACGGTGTGCCACCTCCCAGCCTAATGAGCCCGGCACCTTGGCACCCTGACGTTGCTGACTTCGGGGCCACTCCCCCACCCCTGGTTGTGCACTCAGTACCTGTGAACCACCTGGAGTGGCTTTCATTTTCCTGGTTGGGCCCTGACCAGTGCAGCTGGTGTTCTCAGCAGATTACCCTCCTCACCCACGTCCCCTTTCCCCGGGAAAGAAACTTCCGCACTGGCCTTCCTCCGCTCTGTATATTGCAACTGAGAGCGAAAGCTCCGAGGGAGAAGGGCTTGCTGGTCTCATTCGCCGATGTCATCCGGCACCTCGCTCAGGGGCACAGTGGGTCAGTGCAAACTTGTCTGACAGCTGACTACATCCTGGGTATGTGACAATTTAGAGCAATAGTCGGTCAGAGATAGGGCAGAACGGCGACAAGCTGAGTGTTCCCAGCAGTGACCTTGGTAAGAAGAGGCAACGGGCTCCTCCTCCCCACTTCGCTGCCCAGGGCGTCGCCCCCACCACAGGCCGATGGGGTTATGGTTATGGGCGACCTCAGGAAGACTCCCGCCATAGGCAGGGCAATGCTTGACGCTGTATTTCTGGCATTGCCAGGAGCAGTACTCAGAGGGACCCTAGCAGTCAGGGCAGGGGTCGGAGGTTGCTCTCAGGCAAAATGGCTTCTTTTTCTGCTCCAGCAACCAGTTGGAGGTTGGGAGGGGGGACTGTGGAGGGTCCCTGTGGTCTGGGAAAATGCCTGCAATAGACTACTCAGCTAGGAGGGGTTCAGTAGCAAGGGGCAGGAGGAGGAAGAGAAGGAGGCATGCGAGGGAGCGTATCTGAAGGTTCACGGAGAACAGAAGAGCCGGCTAGGACTGGGATTATGTGCCTGGTGGGCCGCTGGCTGGGGTGGCCAGGGAGGCTTCCAGGGCAGGGGCTCTAGTTGGAAAATCATTCCAGCGACCTTAGAAGAGGTCATGTGTGACTCCACAGTCCACTTGCTCATCACTTGCTCTCTTGAGACCATCCCCACTGGCGGGCGAGGTAGTTCAAATGGATCCAGGGAGCTCCTTGCCTGTTCTCTGGGCCTTTGCATGCTACCGATCTAATGCATCCTTCCGTCTCCCCCGTCCCCCTGCCTCCTGGACAGCCTGCCAGCTCTGCCCACATCCGGGTGTGCTTCCCGAAGAAGCAGGACAAAGTGAAGAAGAGGGTCGTCTGGGGCATTGAGGTGACCGAGGAGCTGCAGTGGAAAGGCTGGGAGCTGGGGAAGGAGACCACGAGGAATCTGCTTCTGAAAAATCTGTCCTTGAAAATCCAGAAGATGAAGTACAGGTACCAGTACAAGGGGCCAGGGACCGAGTGCCTGAGCCTTCAAGCTCCCAAAACAGGCTCTCTTAAAATAAATAAATAAATAAATAAAGTGTGGACCAGCAGGTGGTGTGATGGTTATGTTGCTGGAATCCCACAGTCAACTGCAGCTCGAGTCTCAGACTTGGTGTCTTGAAACTGACGCCAGGCTCATGTGCGTGTGTGCCCAAAATCCTAAGAGGAAAATGGAAGAGAAGGGATTGCAGCGTGGCCATTCCCCCTGGGAGGTGATTCTTGCTTTCTGCCTGTGTCTCTCCAATGTGCCCTATAGCAAAAATCCCTCTTTTAAAAAAATTATAAAATAAAATGTCTTATACAATCGGAGTGTCTATAATGTGTAGTTTGAAGAATTCTAGAAAGTGGAACCATGTGACCTGATTAAGTCACGGAGTAATGACTGTCTGAAGCTCGTTTGACCTCATTGTGTGTCCCCCTCCCATGAGAGCACCCTCCCTGTTCACAAGCATCACTCCTATTCTGACTTTCACGGCAACTCTTTCCTCATTTTCTCAATGCAAATACTACCTGTGTTTGCATCTCCGATTGGTGTGATGTAATTTCTTTTTAAAATTTCCTAGAGGGCATGTGCATTTGCTGGACAGAGGAGGAAAAGTGAGAAAGCACCCCCTGGGGGAGGATGGCCATGCCACAGTCCCCTCTCCTCCATTCTCATGTCAGGATCTTAGGCATGCATGCACATGCACCTGGCATGTTTCTCAAGCCACTGGGTCTGGGACTCAAACCACGCAGTTGGCCATGTGGGATCCAGCCACCTTAGCTACCATGCCCCAAGCTGGTCCCTGATGTAATGTAATTTTATCTTCTTTCAAACTTTATATAAATTGAAGAATATGGTATACTTTGGTAATTCTGTATCATTATTTCATTTTTTTGCTATTGGGCACGTGTAGTCACTGGAGAAAGAGAGAGAGAAAGTGAGAAGGTATCCCTCGAAGGGATGGCCACACAGCAGTCCCTTCTCTTCCATTCTCTAGGGGGTTTTAGGTGATTCTGCCCATATACCCAGTGTATTTTCCAAGCCACCCCATCTGGGACTCAAACTGCTCAGTTAGCCGTGTGGGATCCAGCTGCCTTAACCACCACACCACCTGGCTGGCTCCCGTTATAATTTGTAATTGACAGGTAATAGCTGTGCGTTTTTAGAGTGGCATTCCACTCCGCGTGTACACTGCGCAGTGACTCCAGCAGGGCGACAAGCGTGCTCGTCTTCTCCGGCACTTGTCATTTTGTCGCGAGCCTTCCGAATCCTGTCTTCCTGCTGTTTTGACTAACGTTGAACTGTCAGGCCCCTCGGCGCTCTCCTGCGCTGTAGTGCTCTAGAACTCCATGGCCTTACCGTGGGTCTCTCCCTCTGTGATCCCAAGGACTCAAGCGCCCTTGGCTCCAGGGTTTGCCCAATCTTGCTGCCTCCTCTGATTGTTCTCAGTCCTGATCCGAAGGGCTCAAACCCTGGGCCTCTCTTGCAGGCCTCCCAAGACCAAGTTCTTCTTCACGCTTATCCCTCAGCCCATCTTCCTGAGCCCAGGCATAACCTTCACGCTCCCCATTGTCTTCCGGCCTCTAGAGAAGGTAAGGTCTGCCACACGAGTGAGGATGGGAAGGACAGGGAACGGTGACCTCAGGACAGGAAGCAGGACAGAGCAGCCAGGAGCTCGCCGACCTACCCACATCCTGCCGGCTACAGCAGAACTCCAGGCTGGGAAGCCCTCAGAAGGCACAGACCCTAATCGTATTCGACAGAGGAGCATCCCTAGTGGGTAGTGAGGGGTGACGCCATCAGGAAGCCCTAGATTCCTGGGCCTCTTCCAGCTCCCCCAGATTTCCTCAGCGTACTTCATTCCCCTCAAAAGAAGCCCTGCTCTCTGAGACCAAGATGGCACAGAAGCACAAGCTGCTGGCCCACCCTCGGTGGGTGTGGGGTGGACTGGGATGTACGGTCCCTGAGTCCCGCTTAGGTGCACTGACCCGTGGCTGCCTCTGCCCCCTGCACCGCAGAAGGAGCACACGGACCAGCTGTGGTTTGAGAAAGAAGAGGGGATGTTCTGTGTGGGCCTCAGGGCCACGCTGCCTTGCCACAAGCTGGTCTGCCCTCCATGCCTGCAGCTGCCCCTGTGTGCCGTGGGGGACACAGCCGAGGCCTGGTTCTGCCTGGACAATGTGGGGTGAGGGGACGGGGTGAGGCTCGGGGGCGGTAGGAGAGAAGAGCTTCCGGAGGCTCCCAGAGCAGGGGAGCTGGCATAGCCTTGGGAGCGGGGGAGGGGAGGGCTGCCCAGAGTCCTGGCCTGTCCTAAGTGACCTGACTGACCGCCTCCCCCAGGGATCTGCCCACCTTCTTCACCTGGGAGTCCCCCAGCCCTTTCCAGATGCTGCCCGCCACGGGGCTGCTGGAGCCGGGCCTGGCCTGTCGGATCAAGGTGACCTTTCAGCCGCTCATAGCTGTCATCCGCGAGGTTCAGGCCACGTGCTGGTACGGGGAGCACAGCAGGCAGAAGAGCAGCATCCAGCTGCGGGCTGTGGGTGAGGCCCCACTCCCACCTGCCCAGAGCCCACCTGCTGCCCCTCCCTGGGGCGCTCCCTCCTCTTCCCTGGCCAGGCCCCCACGTGACCGTCACCAGCCACCCACCCTCTCCCAGCTCCGCAGGCTTTGCTGTCTATGATGGCACAGGCTGTGTTTTCCCTGGAGACCCCTGCCTTCATTAGGGGCTCTCTAGCTGGGGCCACAGAGACCCTGGCAGGCCCCCCCAAGACTGTCCTGTCTGCCCCAGCCAAATGTGCCCAGCTGCTGGTGAGCATAAAGCGTAAGCAGCCCGAGGACCAGGATGCCGAGGGCTTCCAGAAAGTGCTGCACTTCGGCTCTGTCGCCGTGGGCTGCACCGCCGAGAGGCAGATCAGGCTGTATAACCCATCAGCGGTATGCATCGGGCTGGGGTGGCAGGGCCAAGACTCGGGGACCCCCGGACTGTGTGCTCCTAAAAGCCACCGCCCTTATCGAATGCCCCCTTTCTCTTTACACCCTGGCCCCAAGCCTCATGTAGCTCCTGAATAAAAGAAAAGCAGCTGTCGACAGGTGGGGCTGGGCTAGGGTAGCCCCTGACCCCCCAGAGCAACCCCCAGAGCAGCCCTAAGACTGTCCTGACTCCAGGACCACAGCTTGCCATGATGGTGCCTTTGGGAGGGGAAATAGGTGCCCCCCTGGGCAGCCCCAGGGCAGGGCAGGAGGCCTTCCCCTTCCTTCTTCCTGTGGGGGTGGCCTCGCCCCATACTCACAGCTGACAGGCTGGATGCCAGCCACCCCTGACCTCATGACTGGGCACCTCTGTACAACGCACAGACTGCCCCACCTTGTGACCTTGACCCCCTGCCCCCCAATCTGGCCCTACAGGTGAATGCCCCCTTCAGGATTGAAGTGGCCCCCGACATGCTGGCCAAAGACCAGGTCTTCTCGTGCCCCACAACCCACGGTGTCGTGCCCCCAGGAGAGAAGAAATGTGTGTCGCTGTTCTTCCAGCCTGAGACCTTGGACGTCAGAACTATGGACTACGTCTCCATCATGCCTTCCGGCTGTGCCTCCCAAACACTGCTCAAAGTTGTGGGTTTCTGCAAAGGTACTGGCCACTCTGGGACCTGACATTTACTGGGCAGGGGGCAGCCCACACTCGGCTGCCTCGTTGCCCCTCAGCCTGGGTGTCTGCTTCCCCCTGGTGGCCCAGTGGGGAATTACCACCTCCCATCTGGGGGACACTTCTGAGACCTCCTTGGGGAAACTGATGCCGGACCCCCCTACCCAAGTGGCAGGGCCCACTCACAGGCACTGTCTCCTGTGCCCAGGTCCTGCCGTGTCCCTGCAGCACTCCTGTGTCAACTTCAGCTGGGTCCACCTAGGGGGGCGCAAGGAGCAGCTGCTGTGGATCGAGAACCGGTGGGACTGCACGGCCCACTTCCAGTTTGCCTTCGACTGCCAGGAGAGCGTCTTCAGCATCAGGCCAGCCTTCGGGACGCTGGTGGGCAAGACCCGCATGACCCTTCTCTGTGTCTTCCAGCCTACTCAGCCCATCACCTGCTTTCGGAGGGTGGCCTGTCTCATCCACCACCAGGTGAGTGGCAGGGGAGGGGCCGAGGCTGAAGCCCAGGGGAAGAGGGGGCTCTTTGGGGACCAATCCCAGGGCCAACCTGAAACCCAGTGATGAAGCCAAGGCTTGGTGGGTTCCCTGGCTCTGGAACGTCTGGGGCTGTCTGCCTGGTCATCTCCTCCCCCAGGACCCCAGCATGGCCAGGGGCATACAACGGCTCACTGTGCCAATCTTGCCCTCACTGCTGCCTGGCCAGGGGCTGCTGCTGCTGTTGATGATGGCTGGGGAGGGGACAGCCTGGACATCACCCCACACAGCAGGTGCCGGACAGAACTTTGAAGTTAGACCCCAAACCTACAAACCTGGGTCCCTGCCAGGATATACATATTGTGCCTTGACCAGTGGGCATCTGGCCAAGACAGAGACAGAGGCTAAATCTGGCCTACGATCCCTCCTTGAGAGGGCCTAGGTTCTGGTCTTGCAGGCTCCTGGCTGGCAGCTGCACGGGCAGAATGCCCAGGAACAGCAGCAGCGGCAGAGGGATGGGTGGACAGGGCTGAGCCCAAAGGGCTGAGATGCAGACGTGCTTGATCCTGACCTTCCGTGAACACGTGCTGGTTTTCCAGCTGAGCCAGGCAGCTGTCGGGATGCTCACCCACACGCCACCCTGTTGCTTTTGCTCCACCATCTCTGTCCTCAGTCCAACCCCCGGCACTGCCCCCTCCCCATGCCCTGTTGCACACGGGCAAATGTCACAGGACCCGCTGTTCTTGGACCTGATCGGGACCTGCCACTCGGACAGCATCAAGCCAGCCATCCTGAAGCCTCAGCACCTCACCTGGTACCGCACGCACCTGGCTCGGGGCCTGACGCTCTACCCGCCCCACATCCTGTGCGCCATGCTGAAGGAGAGGAAGCTAGAGCAGGATAAGAACGGGGCACTCATGATTCCCACGGAGGTACAGTGAACCCCCCGATCCTAGACACCCCAGCACCCTCTGGAGCAGGCTACCTGCCCAGGTCCAGGCCCCTTCTCTAGCAATTCTTCGGCAGTCCTGTGCCCCCAGAGCCCTATGGGCAGGCCCCATCCACGTGTCTTTCTCCATACAGGACCTAGATGCTGAAGGAGAGGAAGCTAGAGCAGGATAAGAACGGGGCACTCATGATTCCCACAGAGGTACAGTGAACCCCCCCGATCCTAGACACCCCAGGACCCTCTGGAGCAGGCTACCTGCCCAGGTCCAGGCCCCTTCTCTAGCAATTCTTCGGCAGTCCTGTGCCCCCAGAGCCCTATGGGCAGGCCCCATCCACGTGTCTTTCTCCATACAGGACCTAGACGACACAAACACCCCACAGTACCCCTCCATCCCTCCCATGGCGGAGTACTTCCTTGATGGCACCAGCAACGTGGCCATCTTCCCCCCACCTGTCAGTATAGAGCCTATCGAGGTGGATTTCGGTGCCTGTCCCGGGCCCGAGGCCCCCAACCCTATCCCCCTGTGCCTGACGAACCACACCAAGGGCAAGATCACCGTGGTCTGGACACGCAGGTTGGACTGCCCCTTCTGGGTGACCCCGGACACCTGTGACGTGCCCCCACTCAAGTCCATGGCCCTGCGCCTGCACTTCCAGCCGCCTTACCCAAACTTACTCTACGCTGTGGAGCTCGAAGCCTTCGCTGTGTATAAGGTGCATGTGCGGAGAGGGGGAAGGCAGGTTCTCTGCCCTGAGTCTAACGGGCGAGTGGGTCCCAGGCTGTGGAGGGGTGCTGCAGGGCCCGTCTTTCCCACGTGAAGCTCCTCTCCCTTTCTCCTTGGCAGGACGGTGGCCCATGTGGTTGCGTCTTGTTCCTATGAGACCTCCCCTCCCCTCCAAGGGAAAGCTAAGCGGGGATCCAGCCCTCTGGGGCTCCTGACTAGGGGATCCCTGGGCTTCTCCAGTCCTTTGACAGGAGCTGTGGCAGGAACCAGGGCCCAGAGAGCAGAGTTAGTGGAGGGGACCTGTCCCAGCAGCTCTTTCCTTCCCTCCCGGCCCTGCCTCCCTTGTGCTTCTTCTTCAGTGGCTATGACAATGGGGCCACGTTCAGAGTCACTTGCCAGCTGTGTGACCTTGGGCAAGTCCCTTAAGGTCTCTGAGCCCTGGTCTTTCCATCTATAAACTTGGGGCCTTTCAAGGGGAATTAGCAAAGGGGAGTCTTTAACCGCTTGTATTCTGGTATCTTGGCGGTTGGAGGAAGGAGGAGGTTTGTAGTAAGAAGGCTGCGGACACCTGGCTTCGCTGAGGCTGAGCACAACAGTTTTAGGTTCCAGGCTCTAGACTTTGCCGTTCAGTGCAGCAGGCGCAGCCCTGGGGCTAGAGCACCGCACCCTGGCTGCTCCGTGTGGAGATGTACTGTAAGCGTAAGATACACACTGGATGTCAAAAGACCCAGTATATTGGGACCAGCAGTTAGCATAATGGCTATGTTGCTAGGCTCCCACGTAGTCGACCACGGTTTGAGTCCTGGAGTTGGTGGCTTAAACTCACACCAGGTGCGTGTGCATGCGTGCCCAAGATCCAGAGAGGAGACTGGAGGAGAAGGGATTGCAGTGTGACCATCTCCCTGGGGGATGATTTCTCTCTTTGCGTCTCTCTGTCTGTCTCTGTCTTTCTGGTGAGTGCACGCGCCCTATAGCGAAAACCTCTCCAAAAAATAAAAAAAAAAGGAGGGGGGAGACTCAGTATAAACAGAATATAAAGATAAAGCTCATTAATCATTTTTATATTGATCACATGTTAAAATGATAAGCATTTTTGGGGACCAGCAGATGGCGTGATGGTTACGTCGCTAGACACCCGCATAGCCAATCGCATTTCGAGTCCTGGACGCAGTGGCTTGAAACTCACGCCAGGCACATGTGCATGCGTACCCAAGGTTCCAGGAGGAGAATGGAGGAGAAGGGATTGTGGTGTGGCCATTCCCCCTGGGGGGTGATTTCTCACTTTCCCTCTCACTGTCTCTGTCTCTCTCTCCAGCAAGCACACACATCCTAAGAAGAAAAACTAGGAAAAAAAAAAGTGATAAGCGTTTTGGATCTATGGGGTTAAATAAAATGTATTATTGAAATTAATTTCATGCATTTTACTTTTTTAATGTGGCTACTGGAACATTGAAAATTCCATTTGTGGCTGGCGTTCGTGGCTCATGTTCTATTTCTATTGGCCAGCGTGTCTCTCGGCACATTCCCGGTGAATGAATGCTGCTTTCACAGCGCTCCCACCCCCAGGGCTTGAGGGCGAACTAAAGTGTATTTGCTGAGTGCTCAGTGCAGGCTCAGCTGGTGGTGTGAGGGGCTGCATGGGGACTGTCGTTCTCTGCGGTGTCTTCACAGAGCCCTCCTTTCTGTGCTCAACGTGGGACTCCTGTGGTACAGGGGTCAGCAGGGGCTGAGCTGGGGTGCCCTCCAGGCTCAGACCCAGGGCTCTGAGCTTGTGCGTGGGTCTGGCCCCCCGCAGGTCCTGCAGAACTACACTAATGTGGAGGAGGACTGTACCGTGTGTCCATCCTGGTGCCTGACGCTGCGGGTGCGAGGCCACAGCTATCGTGCTACCTACGAGCACCACATCCCCCAGTATTCTCTGGATGTCCCCAAGGTGAGTGCGGCCCCAATGGCAGTGGGAGGAGGACAGCGGAGCCCTGGCTTCTGCCTTGGCTGCAGATCCCCTCCCCTTCTGATAGCCTCAGAAACACATTTCCACAGCCTCCCTGGTGTCCCTACCTCCCCGTCACCAGTCCTAGGGATCCGGGCCAGTTAGGCCTTGCTCCTGGGCCTCGGCACCAGGGCTGATGGGAGTCTGGGGCTGGGCAGCGGACCCTTCCCTGCTCCATCAGTTACGGTCACTGGTCTGTGCACCCTCAGGTTTGAGCACCCCAAGGCTTCCTTTGTTCATGTCTGTTTACCGGTGCCTACTGTGCCCGCAGTCCTGGCTAGGCCCTGGCATCCCAAAGCCCTCACTATGAGCCCTGGCCCTTGGGGAGCACGGGCCTGGCCCAGCCCCTCCCAAGGCCCTCAGAGGCCTTACGCGACCTGAGAAGCCGTAGACACAGGCTGAAAAGCACAGAGCCTGGGGCCAGGCCACTGCCCTACATCTGGTTTCTTCTCCATCAGCTTCTGGTTCCCACTGCCGTCATCCTGTTTTCCACTAGTCTTGTACCTGGAAAGGTACCTTTTTGGGGCAATGTGTTTGGGGTGCTCCCACTGCCCCCAACAGCCACGTTCCTGCTCTCCAATCCCAAACCTACACCACCACTGCTCCATTCAGCCCAGGGCCACCTGTCCCCAGAGCCCTCCCCACTCACTCCCCTGCCGACTCCTCGGCCCTCCCCTGGCCAGTTCCTCCCGGTACTTTGTGGCCTTCTCTGTGGCCTGTGTTGCTGCCACACCGACTCCCGTATGTGCCCCTGGGGCCCTAGCTGGATGGGGAACTTTGGTGAGGGACTGTGGGTCTTATGTCTTATAGTCAACTCAGCTTTTAACCCAGTGCCAGAGAAACCCTGGATACCTAAGAAGTGTCTGGAAGCTGAGATTATTGGGGCTGGTTCCCCTTGGTTCACCTGCATGAGATCCGTCCAAAAGGGGCTGCTCACCCCGGAGCTTCAGACCCAGGGTATCTGAAAGACTCTCTAAAGGGTGATTCGACAGCACCCTAAAATGGAGCCATTCTATTCTAACCCCAAGGAGAGGTATTGGAGACCTGAATTTCCCAGGGGCCTAGGGCTGCCATGTCTTCCTGTCTGGAGGCCTCAGGATCAGAAGCATCTTTGGGACTAGCCCCCTAGCCTAGTGGTTAAGGGAGCTAGATCCCACATGGCTGATTATGTGGTTCAAATCCCAGCCCTGGAGGCTTGAAAGACACCCTGGGCATACTGGTGTGTGTGCTCAAGATCCCAACAGGATGAAAAACCAGAGAAGCGATTACAGCATGACCGTACCCCCACTAAGGGACGCTTTCCCTCTGTCGCTGTGTCTCTGGCAAGCATAGCTCCCTCTGGCAACTAAAAGAAAAGAAGAAGCATTCTTCGGTACCAGCTGTGGCCTTGCTCAACTCCTTCTCCCAGGGTGTTGTCTAGCCTGCAGGGAGACTTCTGGGGTCTCCAGGGAGACAGCTCCTCCCCCAGCCCACATATATGTCTCTGGGTATGTGTCTTGGGGGTGGAGACTGAGCAGGGGTCCCCCTCTCCTCCTCTCCCATATCCAGCTATTTCCAGCAGTGTCCCCCCGTGCACCCTCCTACCGCAGCCTGCTCTTGGTCAACAAAGGCTCCATGCTGATGACCTTCAACCTGGCTCCCAGCAGCACCTCGGACATCACCCTGCGGCCCGCCTCAGGCCTCATAGCCCCGGGGGCCCACCAGATCCTCCTCATTTCTACCTACCCCAAGGGCAACTCCTGGAAGCAGCACATCTTCCACCTGCAGTTCAATTTCTGCCCCCAGTATCTCAAGGTAGGAGGCAGAGGTGGTGGGCACCGGGGCCCGCAGGAGTGGGCCAAAACCTGGGACTTCTTTTTTCAAAGTCACATTCAGGGTTGGCCTCTAAGTCTCCCTTGAAGTAGTCGGGGTCACTTCGCCTCTGGAAGTGGAGCAGGGAGGGACGCCTCTTGGCTACCTCTGAACAACTGTCTCACCCCTCAGGGCCCTGCCTATTTACGTCCTGGGTCTGGGGCCAAGAAAGGGGTGTAGAACTGGCCTGTAGGTGATAGAGGGCCTTTCACTGTCTGGAATGGTGACCCATGTCTGGCCCGTGACACGGCCGCTCATCCAGCCTGGGGCCAGGCCACTGCCCTACATCTGGTTTCTTCTCCATCAGCTTCTGGTTCCCACTGCCGTCATCCTGTTTTCCACTAGTCTTGTACCTGGAAAGGTACCTTTTTGGGGCAATGTGTTTGGGGTGCTCCCACTGCCCCCAACAGCCACGTTCCTGCTCTCCGATCCCAAACCTACACCACCACTGCTCCATTCAGCCCAGGGCCACCTGTCCCCAGAGCCCTCCCCACTCACTCCCCTGCCGACTCCTCGGCCCTCCCCTGGCCAGTTCCTCCCGGTACTTTGTGGCCTTCTCTGTGGCCTGTGTTGCTGCCACACCGACTCCCGTATGTGCCCCTGGGGCCCTAGCTGGATGGGGAACTTTGGCGAGGGACTGTGGGTCTTATGTCTTATAGTCAACTCAGCTTTTAACCCAGTGCCAGAGAAACCCTGGATACCTAAGAAGTGTCTGGAAGCTGAGATTATTGGGGCTGGTTCCCCTTGGTTCACCTGCATGAGATCCGTCCAAAAGGGGCTGCTCACCCCGGAGCTTCAGACCCAGGGTATCTGAAAGACTCTCTAAAGGGTGATTCGACAGCACCCTCAAATGGCCATTCTATTCTAACCCCAAGGAGAGGTATTGGAGACCTGAATTTCCCAGGGGCCTAGGGCTGCCATGTCTTCCTGTCTGGAGGCCTCAGGATCAGAAGCATCTTTGGGACTAGCCCCCTAGCCTAGTGGTTAAGGGAGCTAGATCCCACATGGCTGATTATGTGGTTCAAATCCCAGCCCTGGAGGCTTGAAAGACACCCTGGGCATACTGGTGTGTGTGCTCAAGATCCCAACAGGATGAAAAACCAGAGAAGCGATTACAGCATGACCGTACCCCCACTAAGGGACGCTTTCCCTCTGTCGCTGTGTCTCTGGCAAGCATAGCTCCCTCTGGCAACTAAAAGAAAAGAAGAAGCATTCTTCGGTACCAGCTGTGGCCTTGCTCAACTCCTTCTCCCAGGGTGTTGTCTAGCCTGCAGGGAGACTTCTGGGGTCTCCAGGGAGACAGCTCCTCCCCCAGCCCACATATATGTCTCTGGGTATGTGTCTTGGGGGTGGAGACTGAGCAGGGGTCCCCCTCTCCTCCTCTCCCATATCCAGCTATTTCCAGCAGTGTCCCCCCGTGCACCCTCCTACCGCAGCCTGCTCTTGGTCAACAAAGGCTCCATGCTGATGACCTTCAACCTGGCTCTCAGCAGCGCCTCGGACATCACCCTGCGGCCCGCCTCAGGCCTCATAGCCCCGGGGGCCCACCAGATCCTCCTCATTTCTACCTACCCCAAGGGCAACTCCTGGAAGCAGCACATCTTCCACCTGCAGTTCAATTTCTGCCCCCAGTATCTCAAGGTAGGAGGCAGAGGTGGTGGGCACCGGGGCCCGCAGGAGTGGGCCAAAACCTGGGACTTCTTTTTTCAAAGTCACATTCAGGGTTGGCCTCTAAGTCTCCCTTGAAGTAGTCGGGGTCACTTCGCCTCTGGAAGTGGAGCAGGGAGGGACGCCTCTTGGCTACCTCTGAACAACTGTCTCACCCCTCAGGGCCCTGCCTATTTACGTCCTGGGTCTGGGGCCAAGAAAGGGGTGTAGAACTGACCTGCAGGTGATAGAGGGCCTTTCACTGTCTGGAATGGTGACCCATGTCTGGCCCGTGACACGGCCGCTCATCCTCGTGGTCCCTGGGCTCCTCCCAAGAATCATCTCCTGAGCAGCTGCCGCCAACTCTGCCTTTCGCAGAAGCTGCCCAGGCTCAGGCTGGCAGGGAGCCTTGGCTGGTCTCTCCAAGGGAGAAGCTAGCTAACCCCGGCTCCCTGGATCTGTGGGGGAGCCAGGCTTGTGAGGTGGGGTCAGCACACGGCCCTCCCTCCTCCGGCCCCAGGAGGTGACCATGCTGAGCCGAGTGGAGCCGGTGCAGCTGAAGCTGGACACCAACAAAAGCATCTTCTTCAAGCCCACCTGGGTGGGCTGCTGCTCCACCAGTCCCTTCGCCCTCCACAACCCTACGCGCCTGCCCCTGAAGTTTGAGTGGAGGGTCACCCAGCTGTACCGGAAGATGCTGGCCGTGCAGCCCTCCCAGGGGCTCATCCAGCCCAATGAGATCCTTGTGAGTACTCTCCCCCATTGCCCAGGGCTGGGGGAGGCTCCCTGTCATCTTTGCCTTCGTCATCATCTTACTTGTGCCTATCAGGGGCCAAGCTTACCAAGAGTCGTGCGGCCCACAGCCACCCTCCCCCAGCCCCGTGTGCAGGCATATTACTGCTGTCGTCATTTTACCAAGGACTGAGGCTCGGCGGGGAAAGCCCCTCACCGAGATGTTCAGTTAGGAGATGCAGAGCTGGGACTGTCCCAGCATTTCTGATGCCAGGCCTGGGGCACATCTGTTCACTACCATCCGTGGTTCCCAAAGTCACAAGATTGCTGGGACAGTGGCTTAGAGCAGGCGGATTCAGGGCCAGTTGGTGACCCTCGGCAGAGGGTGAAGAAGGGGACTCCCACCGGCCCCGCCACAGCCTGGTATGAGGTACGGGCTGGCACCCAAAATAGCAGACCTCTGTCCCTAGTCTAGGACTCTGCAGACTAGCTGGGGAGGCCAAACTTTGGACAAGAACCAGCTGCACGGGTGCCATGAGGCCAGCAGATGGTACGGTGGCTGGGGCGCTGGACTCCCACATGGCCGGGGCTCCCACGGGCCCCGCCACAGCCTGGTATGAGGTACGGGCTGGCACCCAAAATAGCAGACCTCTGTCCCTAGTCTAGGACTCTGCAGACTAGCTGGGGAGGCCAAACTTTGGACAAGAACCAGCTGCACGGGTGCCATGAGGCCAGCAGATGGTACGGTGGCTGGGGCGCTGGACTCCCACATGGCCAACTGCAGTTCAAGCCCTGGACCTGGTGGCTTGCTTTCCCACTTCCTCTCTCTCTACTTATCTCTCTCTCTCTCTGATGACTACAGCACGTTAGTAATACTAATAATGATAATAAATAATTAAATAAATAAATAATTATTTAAGAAAAAAATAAAGTGCCCGGGGCCAGCAGGACTATGACTGCGGAGGAGGGAAGTCACGCAGATGGAGAGGTAGCCTCACATGTTCACGTCCCCCTTCCCACCCTCGCCAGCTTCTGACTCTGGGCAAGTCACTCCAGCCGTCAGGATCTCTGGCTCTCATTGGGAAGCAGGGCACAGAGATAACACCACTGCCCTCCTAGGGAGCTGGTGTCGAGGGCTCGGGGAGGCGACATGCACAGCGTGTGTGAAGTGTCTGGGGCAGAGGAGGTCCTCAGAAGGGACCATGCACGTGTCATCTCTGTGACCCCAGACAGTGACATGGACCTTCAGTCCTTTGGAGGAGACCAAGTACCTGTTCCGAGTGGGACTGTGGGTCTGGGAAGCCAGCTTGCCCTCCAGCTCCAGGCCCCCGGCCACCACCCACTACATGCTCCGGCTGGTGGGCGTGGGCATCACCAGCAGCCTCTCTGTGAGTGGGGGAGCCTTGGAGGATGGGGAAGGGTGAGGGAGGCCCCGGGGTGCCCAGCTCCGGAGGGCAGGAGATAGACAGAACCCTTGGGCTCTCCTGGCCCACGCTCCAGACCTGCCTTCCCTCGGGGGATGCTCTGAAGCTGGGGATGAGAGAGCAGGGCTGTGGGCCTGGGGGGCCACCCTTGACTGTCTGACCACGGCCCTCAGACGAGGGACAAGGAGCTGGACTTCGGGAACGTGCTGGTGAACAGCACGCAGACCTGGCCCCTGGTGCTCCGGAACGATGGCAACTGCACCCTCCACTACTGCCTGTTCTTGCAGCAGCGCAGCCCCGAGCTCACGGAGAGCGAAGCCCCCGGTACTGGGCTGGGTTGGGAGCAGGGCCAGCGAAGTGTGTGGCGGATACTGGTTAGGAATGGTTAGCCACAGGCCAGCAAGTGGCCTGGTGGTTAAGGCGCTGGATCCCACATGGCCAACTGTGTGGTTTGAGTCCCAGACAGTGGCTTGGAAGACACACCGGGCGTGTGTGCGTGTGTGCTCAAAATCCTGAGAGATTAAAGGAGAAGGGACTGTGGCATGGCCATCCGCCTGAGGGGTGACTTCTCACTTTCTCTCTTTCTGGTGGCAAAAATCTGAAAAAATAATGAAAACTGGTAAACCACTTCATGGTTTGGGGCTGACGGAGCAGAGCTGTAAACCCGGTGCCTCTCCCTGATGGCCGTGCATCACTGGGCAGATGACTGCCCTCCGAGCTCAGCCTCAACTATAAGTGGGGCTATTGGGGGCACCTGCCTCACAGGCTGCCAGCCAGAGAAAAGTGGTTAGCAGGAGCCAGTGACACAGGCTGCGAGGTCCCTTCTGCCTGGCATGGAGGAGGGGCTTGGTGCCCCTTTTCTGAGCCAGTGCTCTGCGGGAGGGGAGGCCTTCTCTGCCCACTCACTCCACCTGCATCACGCCTGAGCAGCTCTGCAGCTGGACCGGATGGAGGGGAGCATGCCGCCGCGGTCCCAAGATGCCATCTGCCTGACTGCCCGTCCAAAGCGCCGGTGCCAGTACTCCTGGACCATCAGCTACTGTCTCCTTTCTCGTAGAGGTACCTGGGCCACCTGGCATGGAGCGTGAGGCCAGAGGAGAGCAGCAGGGAAGGGGAGAGCTGTGTGAGGCAGGACTCGGGAGGCACGGGGGGGTCAAGACTGCGCTCGCAGGGTGAGCGGGGGTTGTTGGCACGTGTCTGCTGGGCATGCCACACACCAGACACACCTGTGTTGGGGGTCCAGATGTGTGTACCTGAGCTGCGGAGGACAGCAGGAAGAGTGGGAGCTGCGATGTTTTATTGTGGGGTTACGGACAAATCCTCAGTCTGCCTGGGCCTCGGGTCCCTGCCACGGGGTTTCCAGCAGCAGACGGGTGGCTGAGAGTGTGACTGAAGCCAGACCGTCAGGGACAGGATCCTGACTCCAGCACTCTGCCTTGTGATATTCTCCCTGTCAAACGCGGGTCATAATGGCCAGAAAAAAGATGAAGCCCCGGTTCATGCTAGCCTGAGGGTGAGCCTCGAAAACGCTGTGCTGAGTGAGCAAAGCCAGTCACCAAGAGCCACATGTAGAGTGATTCCACTGCGTGAAGCGTCCAGACTGGACACATGCACAGCAAGAAGCAGAGGAGTGGTGGCCGAGGGAGGACGGGGAGAGCAGGGAGTGATGGCTGATTGGTCCTGGGTTTACTTTGGGGAGGACAAAAATTTTCTGAAATGAGATGTATTGCTCTGTGAAAATACCGAAATCCCTGAATCATTTGTGTTCAAAAGGGTGAATTTTATGGTATCTAAATGATGCCTCCTCCATAGAGCAGTCATTTAAAATTAGTTCAAGGGACCAGCAGGTGGTGTGGTGGTTAAGACACTGGACTCTCACATGGCCGACTGTGGTTCACTCCCTGCACCCTGCCCACCGTCTCTCTCTTGTGAGTGCCTGTGCCCTACAGCAAAAAAATTATTATTATTATTATCATTAATTTATTAAAGACTTATTTATTTAATTTCATGTATTATTATTATTTTTTTAATTCACCAGAAAGATAGTAAGAGGGAAAGTGAGAAAGCAAACCATCATGTCCAGGATTGAACCATGGTTGGCCATGTGGGAGTCCAGACTTGAACCATGGTTGGCCATGTGGGAGTCCAGTGCCTTAACGACCACACCACCTGTTGGCCACAATAATAATTTTTTCAAGTAAGTAATTATTTTTTTTTAAATTAGTTTGGAAAGAAGTAACAGTGCCCATCACTTCGAGCAGTGTCTGGTGCATAGAAAGAACCAGACAAGAGTTGGCTGTTGGTTGGAAATGTCCCAGAGCCTAGGAGATGGCTACGGCTCCCAAAAGGGCTCCCGGGGGACCAGCAGTTAACATAATGGCTATGTCGCTGGACTCCCATTTGGCGACCGCAGTTCGCATCCTGGACCCGGTGGCTTAAAACTCACGCCGGGCACGTGTGC